TCCTCTGCCATCTTGGCTCCTTCCCCCTCTCCTTTTGTTTAATGTCATTTTAATTATTGGGACAGCCCAAAAGCCTACAAAGGAAGAAGGGAAAATTTTTCTGCCCCTTCAACTACATGGGTGGATATTTCAGTCTGCTATTGAGGGATTTTTAATTTATTTCTCATTAACTTTTAGTTCTCCAGTTAATAACTTTGTGGGAACAGTGACAGACTTTATTTTGGGGGGCTCCAACACCACCTAAGATGGTGAATGCAGCCATAAAATTAAAAGACACTTGCTCCTTGGAAGAAAAATTATGACAAACCTAGACAGTGTATTAAAAAGCAGAGACATTACTTTGCTGACAAAAGTCCGTCTAGTCAAAGCTATGGTTTTTCCAGTAGTCATGTATGGATGTGAGAGTTGGACCATAAAGAAGCTGAATGCCAAAGAATAGATGCTTTTGAATTGTGGTGTTGGAGAAGACTTTTGAGAGTCCCTTGGGCTTCAAGGAGATCAAACCAGTCAATCCTAAATGAAATCAGTTCTGAATATTCATTAGAAGGACTAATGCTGAACGGAGGCTCCAATACTTTGGCCCCCTGACATGAAGAGCTGACTCATTAGAAAAAAAAAAAAACTCTGATGCTGGGAAAGATGGAAGGCAAGAGGAAAAGGGGATGACAGAGGATGTGATGGTTGGATGGCATCATTGATTCAATGGACATGAGTTTGAGCAAGCTCCAGGAGATAGTGAAGGACAGGGAAGCCTGGCGTGCAGCAGTCCATGGGGTTGCAGAGTTGGACACAATTGAGCGACTGAACAACAGAGCTGTTCTTTTATATTTTTGTTAGTGTATCTTTGAAATAAATTTTAGAAGTAGGATTATAGGATCCAAGGATAAATGCACATGTGATTTTGCTAGATGTTGTCAAATTCCCTTCCCTCAAGGTTTAGGCCATGGAACATCCCCAACAGTGATGTAAGAGGGTGCCTGTTACCTCGAAGCTTCCCTAACAAGAGTTCATTATCAACATATACGCTGATGAATGTGTCTAATATATACTAAGATATTAAATAAAAACACTAAAATGACAATCAAAATGAAAATTGTCTGAGTTGCCTAAAATCAGTGGTATGAGTACCACACATTCATAAACACTGCCTTAGCCATTACTTGAAAAATACAGATATTTTGGCCTCTCTGAACCCTGCTTGGTATGCTGAAAACCCCTGTCCAAGTTGCTTTCTTCCTTAGATGTTGCACTAGTACAAGATGTGCTGTCTGAGACATTATAACCCATTCCACCTCATTTTTGTGTTGATTTACAGGGCTCCAACCTGCAGTATTTAATTTTTTAGCCTGTTGTATGGTTATGTGCATAATAAAAGATTATCAAATATTTATAATCCTTAAAGATGAACATCTAATTCTCCCCCACGTGAGGTAGTCCATTTTTATACTGTTTGTTGTTTTTCAGTCAGTAAGTTGTGTCTGACTCTTGTGACCCCACAGACTGTAGCCCACCAGGCTCCGCTGTCCATGGGATTTCCCAGGCAAGAGTACTGGAGTGGGTTGCCATTTCCTTCTCCAGGAAGTGTTTGGACCCAGGGATTGAACCCATGTCTCCTGCATTGGGAAGCAGGTTCTTTACCACTGAACCTCCAGGGGAGCCCCATGTACTACTGGTAGATTAAAAGAATTTTTAATAGACTTGACATGGTGCAAGGCACAGTACACATCAATTAAAAAATCATTACTTGAATAATGTGGAGAGAATGCTAGGAACATAAAATCTGAAATATCAGTCATCTTTATATGCATTACTTTGAACTAACTACATTGATTCCAAATTGAGAGACAGCTTTGAGGAAACTCTTGTCCTACCTTATTAAAGAAGGATTTAGGAAATTCGGAGAAACATTATATAAGCTTTCCAGGGAATCTTTTGAGATAAGAATGTTAAGGTTTAAATTCCATTGGTTATTGCCATTCTTGTCACTAGAATGTTCCTTGAGAAGCTAATTTTACCTGGAACATTTAGCATAATACCTGGCATACAGTAGGTGCTCATTTAAAGCCTATTTAACTAATGAATGAATCCTTGCCTTTTCCATTCATTGTGATTTATTACCACCAGTAACAGCATCTGTTAGTGAGAACAAGAAAATAGAATATACTGGCTTCATTTTCTTGGGAGACCCATTAAGGAGCAAGTGTTTACTAAACCGTGGGCTTTTCTTTTTCATTGTTTATGTTCAATTTTTGAACTGCATGAATTTTATCCATTGTTTATCCTTTACTCAGTACTGAACTTTAGTTCTCATCAGAATGCACTTTTTCTTAACCAGGAACTCTCAAGGATTATATTGAGTGTTTCATAAAGAACTATTTCATTGCAGTACCTGAAAGCACAAAAATTTCTTCTCTCCTAGAGTTAATAGCAGAGAATGTTTGCCAAATGTTTTTTAAAAATATGCTCATTTTAGAAAATATTGCCAAGCTTTCCATCCCTAAAATAAAAAAATCTAGTTGGTTATCATTCTATCTACACAATTTCATATCTTGTTATTTTCACCTAATACATATTTTCCCACAACATAAAAATTTTTGAAAGAACATTCAATTCAAAGTGAGTAAAAGTACATCAGAGGACCCTGTGTACAAATTCAGAGCATCAGAGAGTGTTGGTAGCTCTCCCCCATACATATACGATTGAAAGTATAAAATGCCTCAAGAGTATGATGTAAAAATTTTGCTTAAAAATAGAAATTATTAAAAATGAAAAAATAAAATAAAAAAATATTCTGGTTTCACTTTTGTTAAATGTAATGTTTTGAAGATAATTCACCTTGATAATAGTCTAACAAAGTTTAATGGTAACTAAATAAATATTTTTTAAGGATTCAAAGAAAATAAGTATTTTTGATTAAAGAGATCAATAATGATGGTTCTAGAGCTGCAAAGTGTAAAGTGTTCCATGAAGTACCTCAGCCTCTATGCCTGAGTGTCAGACTGTGTTGGGACTTACATTTCTGAACTATTCGGGGATTTATTAAAAGATTCAGAGCATGGAAAATGATGAAAATAAAGCCAAAAATAAAAATGGTAGTTTTCAAGCGGTCTGTTACGCCTTTTGGAGGGATGGGAAAATATGGAAAGATTTCCCTGACTTTTTGTGGGACAGAACAAACACTAACTGGTTGATGAGTGTAAGTACCGAAATGACCTTCGGACACCCTTAGGTTTGGCCAGTAAGTAGGGATATAAACAGGTGGGTCACAAATCTAACGAACGACCTTCACCAGCACAATTTACTTCTTCCTTCTGGATCAGAGGGTGTCTCCTTCCCAAAAATTCGACCTCTAGCTCTGTAAGACAAGTTACTGACTTCACGCCTCCTAGGTATCGGCGTGACAGTCTCATCCTTCAGTCTGGGAAGAAAAAGAAATACCCCGCCACCCTCAGCCTCAGCCATACTTTGAGGTACCTGGGAACCCCTGGATGTGAAGCAAGGGCCTCAGAAATAGAGGCCAACTGCCATGGACTGCAGTAGGCAAAAAAGGAGAGAAAGTTTAAAGAGGTAGGTAGGAGGACGTTTTAATTCCTCTTCTAACTTTGACTTGCAGTGCTTACATAGGAAAATTCTATAGCCTCTCCAGATTGAGGACCCCACAGAAAAATCCAGAGAAAGTGACCCACGGTCAGCTTTGTACCCCCAGGCCTAACGGGCCACTCCGTACAGAACGTAATTTGTCAGCTGATTGCTGCCTGGAACGCGAACACGTAGGGTAGGAGAGGCGGGAGATGGGGGCGGGACAACATGGCTGCCTGACGCTGATTGGCTGATGGAGCTCGTCGCCTGGTGCCATTTGCTGTTGGGTCAGCGCACCAGACGCAGTCTGCGTCCTGCACGTGCAGCCGTTTAAGTCGCGTCAGCACCTGTGAGGACCCCGGGAGAACAAGCCGCGGAGAGGTGAGTGGGCCGCCGGCTCTTTTCCCAGTACGGGTTTCATCCCAACGCTCTGGGCTTCCTAGCTGGACTTTGGGCCAAGTGAAGAACGGTTGGGGTGGGTAGGGGTTTGAAGCCGCCCTTTGGGGTCTTTCTGCTTCCTGCCGGAGGGTCCGGTAGCATGGTGCGTGTCCGAAGTCTGGGGTTGAGGCCTGCAGGAAAGGCGAAGGAGCATTTTTGACCGCATGGTACTACACCATCCGTGTTCAGAGAAAAAGACTCTCTAAACACGGATGGTTGTAGAACTATTAGTGTATACACCCTCTTTGGCAAAACTAGTTGTTTGTGGGAGATATTTGGGCCACCTAATCACCCCTTCCTTCCCTGCCAAACTTCAAGGCCTTGATCCCTGGTCACTTCCCCCCTCCCCCCTCAAAGAAACTAAATAAACCCCACGCGAAACGTCTTACCCAGTTTTGAACGGAGAAACCTGGAGTAGTATCTGAAAAATTTCCCCTCCCCCTTAATATTCACTAAAACGCATTGGGAACCCTTCAGTGAGAAAATAAATTCTGTCAACAGATTTTGGGGAAAAGCCTGAACTTCACCGGGACATGGTGATTGCTAGAGTGATTAGATAAGTGGTTCAACTAATTTTTAAAGATAAAAAATTTTAAGTCGCTTAGTCGTGTTCGACTCTTTGCAACGCCATGGACTGTACAGTCCATGGAGTTCTTCAGGCCAGAATACTGGAGTGGGTAGCCATTCCCTTCTCCAGGGGATCTTCCCAAAGGGATCGAATCCACGTCTCCCGCATTGCAGGCTGATTCTTTACCGTCTGAGCCAAAAGGATGAATATAAACGGTATCTCTCAGTAAGAAACAGAACTTTAATATCCCCTTTTGCAAAAACTTTTGGGGAGGATCAACAGTTAATTGTGTAGTTTGGAAGTCTATGTGTGAAATGATGATTTATGCTTTTAAAGGTACAATTCTGATCTCTGATTCTGACTGAGCCTAAATGTGCTTGTTTGTATTTTTATAAAAACTGAACTGGAAGCCGCCATGGGAGATGAAGATTGGGAAGCAGAAATAATCAACCCTCATATGTCTTCCTATGTTCCTGTATTTGAGAAGGTAATAAAATTTAAAGTTTGTAGTTATTGAATGCTACAGATTTTATCAGAGTTGAAAATCTCTGTGGTGAGAAAGTTCATCTGTGGTGAGAAGCATGCTATGCTTCTCCATGTGATTGTTATTAACTGTATTACAGGGAATGATGAAGCATGCTAAGCCCAATAGAAGAAAACAGTCTGACATAATTTAATAATTAAAACCTAAAATGGGTATAATATTATTAGCAACTTAATTTAAATCTCAATGATTTAGAACTTATTGTGGGTGAAAGCAAGCTTGTGTTAATGTGGTTGAATGTCTCTAAGATACAGTTGTATAGAAAATAGAAAAATAAAAATCTTTTTGGGTGGCAGTTTGAATTCTGAAATTTGGTTTTATACAAGCAGGGCTCTCAAGATGAAAACATTAGGTTGGTTCAGATGGTAACATCAGTTTGATCTTCAGATGTACAAATCTGCAGATCTTTTTCCTCAATAGCTTTTGAAGAGTTACACTGAAATTTACATGAGGGAATTATGGAGTGGGTTTTTGAATTTTAGTTTTGACTTTAAGATGGTGAACGGAGTCTACTTTGGAAGACAGTGTATTTAATGGATTGCTTTTACATAAGTTTTATTTACTTGAAAATGTCTTCTAAAGTCAAATTGTTTTCCTTTTAGGATTTCCAGTTTGTATTTATGTTAGTCAATTCTGAAACTTTATATTTGAAGTGATGTCTTAATAGAAATTCTTAATTTACCCCAAAACATAAAATTTAATTCTTCGTCTTTCTTGAGTTTGGCCTGTTTGCATATAAACTTTAGATTAAAATACCTAAGATGTTAATCTGAATTTATCATGTTTCTTGCTTTGGGACTTATTTTAGAAATAAATTCTTTGTATATTATCTTTTTATAGTCTTCTTTATGTTACAATATCGTAAGAATATTGTAAGACCAGAAGAGGAGAAATATTACATACAGTCTCGCTCACTAGCACAAATGCTCTGTTCAGGTTTTAGGAAATTTTCTTCTATATTTCCCAAACACATTTTTACATGGATTCTAATGATTGTACGTAATAGTAATTTTTGATTTCAGCTTTTTCAGTCTTCAGTACTAGCTATTCCATATTACTAACTTCCTAAAAATAATTTCATTATGGGTATGTAGTATTTAATGGACTAGAGCTACCATAACATAATTGATTTTCTTTTGGTAGAAATTAAAGTGTTATCTTTGCACTGCAGTATTGTCATGAATAGCTACAGTTTATTGTTTACTTTGGGAGTATTTTTTTCAAAAATGGAATTACTTGGTCAAATAATTTTCTGTGGTTCTTTTTTTCCCAGGTTCTTGGTAGATTTGTTGTAATACACAGTTTAACTCATAGGTACAGATGTTCTTCCACTTGGACTTGTCTAATTTTTACTTTTTCTTACAATGAGATTTTGTCTTAACTAAGTATTATTCAAATGGTATACTGCACTGTAGAATGTTGTGCACGGTTATTGCAAAGGGAGTCTGAAATTGAGGATCGTCAACTGTCAGGCTTCCAGATTTACCTTTTGGGAGTCTTTGTGCTATTCAGTAACATACTTTGTTTCTTGATGTTGGTCATACTGATTGAATATTAGTTATGTTAATATTTCTACCTTACAATTCTTAGTACATATCTGTGTGGAGCCAATTTGTAGTAAACTTTTTGCATTTGTCCACAAATTTAACACCTGGTGCTAGGTGCAGTTAGTAATTTGACCTACTTGACTTGTTGACTTGAAGGAACATGATGCATTCAGTGGCTTTGTTTGCTTGTCTTTGTTGAATAAGATGTGTAGAAGCTAAGGATGAACACATGAAATTTTTATGTAGGAGAAATCTGAGGTCTTCAGCCTGTTTTCTTTTAAAGGCACCATTTGATTGGTTGTTCTAATTGGATTTCTGTTCCAAGAAGCAACTGGGCTTCCCTTTTGTTCAATTTGTATTGGCTCTGAGATAATCTTGGATTGGTAATAATATCTGATCAGCCTTTTCTTGATTTAAAAAATTGGGAGTATAGTTGATTTACAATGTTGTGTTTCTGCTGTACAGCAAAATAGGTCAGTTATACATATACATATATTCATTCTTTTTTATTTTCTACTCTTATATAGGTCTTTACAAAGTATTGAATAGAATTCCCTGTGCTATGCAGGAGGTTCTTATTATGTGGTAAGCCTTTTCTGAATGCTTCTAAGGATCCTTCTTTGGAGATTTAGTATTAACACAGGTTTATATAATTTTGAACTAACAGGTTGCTTTTCTGGTAGTTTTTAGAACCTACTTCAGTGTTCTTGCCTGGAGAATCCCAGGGATGGGGTCACACAGAGTCGGACACGACTGAAGTGATTTAGCAGTAGCAGCAGCAGTTAGAACTCCTAATGCTAGTTTTTGAAGTGAGTGTACCATGTGGGGATAGAATAATAAAAAATGTGAGGTTGAGAAATATTTGGTAATCTAGAAGTTACAGTAGTCCAGAAATGGTTAGGCATTTGCATATTGTGCGCACACTTGTTGGGGTGAAAGATGAAATGGATGAGCGTGATGACTGTAACAGGATACTGGGTTTGCTTGCTAGTTGTAATATTTCTTATTAAATGACCGATGAATCTACACACTCATCTCTTCTGTCTGATCTTTTTGCTTTTTTTCTGGCGTATTTCAGAAGGCATATATACTTTTGTGATTAAAGCGGAAACTGCTTAAGATAATTAGTCCATCCACAGTTACTATTTTGAAATTTATAATATTTGAAATAATGTTAAGTTTTAAAATTTCTAAATTGGTTCACTTGGATGAGTAATGAGGTTATAAATGTTTTATAGCTAAGTGTTCTAAAAATAGGTAATGTTAAGACCTAAGACTCATTCAACAAGTTTTTTTGAGCCTTATTAGATGCTGGAGCTAGTGGTAGACATGATAGATAAGGGGCTTGCTGGCATGGATGTTGTATTTTACCGGAGGAGACAGAATAAGCACATTAAAAATCATATACTAATAGTGAAAATTATTAAATAGTAATAAAATAATCGGGAAACTCTCTGTGTGTGAGGGAGAAGAAGATTGGTATGGATAGATTTAGATCATGTGGAGAGGAAAATATTCCTTGAGACTGTGACTCATGAGCCGGAGACCTGAAAGAGTCCCAATAACACATGATATGCAGAGATCTGAAGAGTGAACAAACTTAGGGTATCAGGACAACAGGAAGAAGTATAATGTGTTAGTTTCCTATAGATGCTGTAACAAATTATCACAAACTAGATGGCTTACAGTAACAGAAAAATTTCTCTTATAGTTTTGGAGGCCAGAAGTTAGAAACCATGGTCTCAGCAGTGTTGTTTTCCTTCAGTAGGCTCTTGGAGAGAATCCATGCTTCTTCCAACTTCTAGTGGTTATAGGCAGCTTTGGCTTGTGGCTGCATCTCTTAATGTTGTCTTCACTGGGCCTTCTCTGTGTTTGTGTTAATACCCTTGGCCTTTCATAAGGACACTTGTGATGACATTTAGGGCCCATTTAGACACTCCATTGTTCTTGCCTGGAGAATCCCAGGGATGGGGGAGCCTGGTGGGCTGCCGTCTGTGGGATCACACAGAATCGGACACGGCTGAAGTGACTTAGCAGCAGCAGCAGCAGATAATCCAGGGTAATCTCCTCATGTCAAAATTCTTAGTTATATCAGTCAGAACTTCTTTTTTTTCAAATAATATGGCACACTTTTCAGAAATTAGGGCTTGATATCATTGAGTGGACGTTATTCAATCTGCTATAGCTGCTGCTGCTGCTAAGTTGCTTCAGTCGTGTCCCACTTTGTGTGATCCCATGGACAGCAGCCCACCAGGCTCCCCTGTCCCTGGGATTCTTCAGACAAGAATACTGGAGTGGATTGCCATTTCCTTCTCCAGTACATGAAAGTGAAAAGTGAAAGTGAAGTCGCTCAGTTGTGTCTGGCTCCTAGCGACCCCATGGACTGCAGCCTACCAGGCTCCTCCGTCCATGGGATTTTCCAGGCAAGAGTACTGGAGTGGGTTCCATTGCCTTCTCCGCTACTATAGCTAGTATAGAGCTATTTCAAATCCTAAGAGATGATGCTGTGAAAGTGCTGCACTCAATATGTCAGCAAATTTGGAAAACTCAGCAGTGACCATAAGACTGGAAAAGGTCAGTTTTCATTTCATTCCCAAAGAAAGGCAATGCCAAAGAATTTTCAAACTACCACACAGTTGCACACATCTCATGCTCTAGCAGAGTAATGCTCAGAATTCTCAAAGCTAGGCTTCAACATGAACCAAGAACTTCCAGATGTTCAGGCTGGTTTTAGAAAAGGCAGAGGAACCAGAGATCAAATTGCCAACATCTATTGGATCATAGCAAAAACAAGAGAATTCCAAAAAAACACTTACTTCTGCTTCATTGACTACTACTAAAGATTTTGACTGTGTGGATCGCTACAAACTGTGTTAAATTCTTAAAGAGATGGGGATACCAGACCACCTGACCTGCCTCCTGAGAAACCTGTATGCAAGGCCAGAAGCAACAGTTAGAACTGGACATGAAACAATGGATTGGTTCCAAATTGGGAAAGGAGTACGACAAGGCTGTATATTGTCACTCTGCTTATATAACTTACATGTAGTACATCATGTGAAATGCCAGGATGAATGTAGCACAAGCTGGAATCGAAATTCCTGGGAGAAATACTAATAACCTCAGATAATGCAGATGATACCAGCCCTATGGCCAAAAGCAAAGAGGAACTAAAGAGCCTCTTGATGAAAGTGAATGAGGAGAGTAAAAAAGGTGGCTTAAAATTCAACATTCAAAAAATGAAGTTCATGGCATCTGGTCTCATCACTTTATGACAAATAGATAGGGAAATAATGGAAACAGTGAGGGACTATTTTCTTGGGTTCTAGAATCACTGCAGATGGTGACTGCAGCCATGAAATTAAAAGATGCTTGCTCCTTGGAAGAAAAGCTATGACCAACCTAGATAGCATATTAAAAAGTGGAGACATTACTTTGTCAACAAAGGGCCACCTAGACAAAGCTATGGTTTTTTGAATAGTCATGTATGGATGTGAGAGTTGGACCGTAAAGAAGGCTGAGTGCCAAGGATTGATCCTTTTGAACTGAGATGTTGTAGAAGACTCTTGAGAGTTCCTTGGACTGCTAAGAGATTAAACCTGTCAATCCTAAAGGAAATCAGTCCTGAATATTCATTGGAAGAACTGTTACTGAAGCTCCAGTACTTTGGCTACCTGATTCAAAGAGCTGACTCATTAGAAAATACCCTGATGCTCGGAAAGACTGATGGCAGGAGGAGAAGGGGATGACAGAAGATGAGATGGTTGGATGGCATCATGTGACTCAACGGACATGACTTTGAACAACCTCTGGGAGATGGTAAAGGACAGGGATGCCTGGCGTGCTGCAGTCCATGGGTCGCAAAGAGTCGGACATGACTGAGTGAGCAACGACAAATTTCTAGTATGTCTAAACTATAGTAAGATAAGGCAAGATTTGTAGAAAATGAAATCTTGAGAAGGAAAGAGAAAAGGAAGAGAGGGAGAGGGCCCTCAAGATAGAAGTGGACATATAGTTGATAGAACTAGATGGCCTGGATATGGGGAATGCAAGAGAGAGTGATGCTAAGTTTTTATATTGAAGCAAGTAGATGGATGATGGTGCTTATTACTGAAATGGGAAATATGTGGAAGATGAACCAATTTGGGAGGGAAAAAAATCAAGAATTCTGTATTTGCAGTGTTGAATTTCAGATGCCTAAGAAAAGATTTAAGAATACTAGTCGTTAGTTGTTGCTTAGGAGAGGGATCAGAGCTGTAGGTACAAATTTGGAATTTATCTATTTTAATAGGATTTAAATCTGTGAGAGTGGAGTTGGTAAAGTTGGATTGAATAAAACAGACTTAGAGGGCTCTGCCATGAACTGTGGGGCACTTTGATTTTAAAAGGTACATTAGTTGGGGAGCTGGCAAAGGAGACTGTGGAGGGAGTGGCCATGGGGCAAGAGGAAAACCTGGGAAGGATGTGTTCCCTTCCCAGAGAAGGAAGTAGATAGTCTGTTGTTTCAAATGCTGCTGAGAGTTCTGGCAGGATGAAGCTTAAAAGTAGTAATTTTATTACATAATATGCTTACTATAAGCTTTTTCAGTGCACAGGTGAGGATGGAGGCTAGCAAGAGTAGCTTGAAGGAAATACGGAATGTGAGAAAACAGAGGCAGCAAGTGTAGATACATTTTTTTGCCTATAATGGAGCAGAGAAATGATAGAGTAGCTGGAAGGGAGTATGAAGTTACTGTTTTTAAGGTAATGGAAAATGTTAAGGATTTTATGATGAAAGATGAATTCTATTGAAAAAAAATTTTTTTTTCAAAATTTGCCTTAGAATGTGTGTGGGATATTAAATTCCATCTTCTGAAGATTGTTTAGTAATAATAATTTTTCAGTTGTTTGGTGTCAGAGTGTTTCATTACTTTTTATCAGTTATATGAAGCTGAATGTTATAACACTTATAAAACTAGCCTCTTTGGGGGCTCTATTCGTCCAGTAGTATTTTGGATACTAGAAAAGAGAAAAAAAGTCTTCAGTGTTTCACTTTAAATCGGGAAAGCTGGATTACTTTTCTTGTTTGTCTTATCGTCTATGGTAATCATAAATTGGAATTTTTTACTATAGCAGTTATCAAAATCCCAAGCCATTTCAAAGATTTTATCGTATGTTTTTAGTAAGTTAGAAAAATAATTGAATGTCTTTGAGCTTTATAAAGGTAGTTTTTAAAGTCAGTGTCTTTTGTGAAAGAAATTTTGGAGCTAAAGTATTACCTGACGATGTTAATACCTACCTTGGTGCACTCCCTCCAGCTTTAAGTTTATTTGAAGAAACTTACTTGGCAAAAATATTGTGATTTTTCAAATTCAGTCAGTTAATTGAAGTGTTATCTGTAAACTTTAGGTCACTTTTTGTGCTTAAATTATTGAATTTGATTTTGAAGAATTTCAGAGCTCTGTTCAAAAGTTTTGCCTTTAGTATCGGAAGCTTGTTTGAGAGGAAGCAGCCTGTTACATACCTAGATGAACTGAGGAAGGCTTTTTTCCAATAAAACTTTATTTATAAAAACTGGTAGCCCACCCGATTTGGCTTGTGGCTATAGTTTGCTGACCATTGTTTTAAGTGATATATTAGTATGCTATATATACAATTTTAAAGTGAAGGTGTTTTAGAGTAGTAATAAAGGAACATGCAATGACCCAGGAAGTCTTACATTCTTTAATTGTTTTGTTATGGACAAAACCCAGTTGTTAAAACTTTTTAGTATTTATGAGATAGATTACTCATTTTTATTATTCAAAGTAGAAAACTAGTCTTTTCTTTTTTCTTACAGGATAGGTATTCTTCTGGAGCAAATGGAGACACTTTTAACAGGACTCTGGCTTCATCATCAGGTATGTGTTAAGGTAAAAATGCAGAACTGTTTTTAGGTTAAGGGCTTCATCCACTGGATGAGAAGCAGACTAATAGATACCTTGTCAAAGATGTCTTTTAAATTTTCTAGTGAGACGTTTTGGCTTGAATATTTTGGGTTGGGAGCCTCTTATAATTAAAGGAAGGGAGAGAAGAGAGAGTGTAGTGTTAGAGTGTGTCCTTCGATTTAGTGGCTTTGCTGTAAAATCTTTGCCCAGCCTCCAAGTTGCATGTTTGGCTTTCAGGCTGCTATGGGAATTGTCAGGATTCCCGATATAAGGCAGTAGGAGAGTAGACTCAGGTGTTGAAGCAGGTTACAATGATGGTGACCTGTCAGGATAGCAACTATTTAAACCAAACTCATATCATATTAATACACATAAATCCCTGGCATTCCTATACACTAACAATGAGAAAATAGATATAGGAATTAAGGAAACAACCCTATTCACCATTATGTCAAAAAGAATAAAATACCTAGGAATAAATTTATCTCAAGAAACATGAGACCTATATTTAGAAAACTGTAAAACACTGATGAAAGAAATCAAAAGATGACACAAATAGATGGAGAAATATACCATGTTCATGGATTGGAAGAATCAACATAGTGAAAATGATATAGTACACAAAGCAATCGATAGATTCAGTGCAATCCTTATCAAGCTACCAATAACATTTTTCACAGAACTATAACAGATAATTCCACAATTTGTATGGAAGCACAAAAAACCTCGAATAGCCAAAGCATCTTGAGAACGAAGAATGGAACTGGAGGAATCAACCTGCCTGACTTCAGACTATACTATAAAGCTACAGTCATCAAGACAGTATGGTACTGGCACAAAAACAGAAATATAGATCAATGGAACAAGATAGAAAGCCTGGAGATAAATCCATGCACCTATGAACACCTTATCTTTGGCAAAGGAGGCAAAAATATGCAATGGAGAAAAGACAATCTCATTAACAGGTGGTGCTGGGAAAACTGGTCAACCACCTGTAAAAGAATGAGACTAGAACACTTTTTAACACCATACACATAAATAAACTCAAAATAAATTAAAGATCTAAATGTAAAACCAGAAACTATAAAACTCCTAGAGGAAAACATAGGCAGAACACTCTCTGACATAAATCACAACAGGATCCTCTGACGCACCTCCCAGAGTAATGGAAATAAAAGCAAAAAAACAAATGGGGCCTAATTAAACTTAAAATCTTTTGCACAATGAAGGAAACTATAAGCAAGTTGAAAAGACAGCTTTCAGAATGGGAGAAAATAATAGCAAACAAAGCAACTGACAATCTCAAAAATACACAAGCAGCTCATGCAGCTCAATACGAGAAAAATAAACAACCCAGTCAAAAAATGGGCCAAAGAACTAAACAGACATTTCTTCAAAGAAGACATACAGATGGCTAACAAACGCACGAAAAGGTGCTCAACATCACTTATCATCAGAGAAATGCAAATCAAAACCACAATGAGGTACCATCTCACGCTGGTTAGAATGGCTGCTATCAGAAAGTCTACAAACAATAAATGCTAGAGAAGGTGTGGAGAAAAGGGAACCCTCTTACCCTGTTGGTGAGAATGCAAACTAGTACAGCCACTATGGCAAATGGTGTGGAGATTCCTTAAAAAACTGGAAATAGAATTGCCATATGACCTAGTAGTCCCACTGCTGGGCACACACACTGAGGAAACCAGAATTGAAAGAGACACGTGTACCCCAATGTTCATTGCAGCACTGTTTACAGTAGCTAGGACATGGAAGCAACCTAGATGTCTGGATAATAAAGTTGTGTTACATATACATAATGGAATATTACTCAGCTATAAAAAGAACATATCTGAGTTAGTTTTAATGAGGTGGATGAAACTGGAACCTATTATACATAGTGAAGTAAGTCAGAAAGAAAAACACCAATAACAGTATATTAGTGCATATATATGGTGGAATTTAGAAAGATGGTAACAGTGACCCTCTATGCAAGACGGCAGAGACACAGATATAAAGTACAGGCTTTTGGACTCTGTGGGAGAAGGCGAAGATGGGATGATTTTAGAGAATAGCATTGAAACATGTATATTACCCTATGTGAAATAGATGACCAGTCCAAGTTCGATGCTTGAAACAGGGCACTCAAAGCTGGTGCACTGGGACAATCCAGAGGGATGGGATGGTGAGGTAGGTGGGAGGACAGTTTGGAACAGCCTTGTTCCAAACAAGGAACACCTGTGGCTGTACATGGTACAGCTGTGTACACTCGTGGCTGATTCATGTCAATGTATGGCAAAACCCACCACAATATTGTAATTAATCTCCAATTAAATAAATAAAAAAGTAAAATATTTAATTAAAAAAAAGATAATATGAGCTTCTTTGGGATCTGAAAACTAACTTAGGGAGGTCCTTGGCAAATAAGAGAAACAAATCAAGATAAGGGAGCTCTTGTTTTCCCCCATCACTTGTCTCCATCTTGTTCGCCTACATTTTTTATAAAGTTGAGAAGATAGGTGGAAGTGGTAGGACTTGGGCTAGAAAATTAATCTCATGACAGTATTTGATTTTGTTGAAGTTCACAGCAGGCTAATATGCTACTTCTAGTATTTCTTCAATTAAAAAAAATACATATAACAAAATTTACTGTATTAACCATTTTTAAATGTACTATGCAGTGATATTAAGTACCTTCATGTTGCTGCGCAACCATGATCACCGTCTACCTCTGAAACTTTTTCACCTTCCCAAACTGAAATTTCATACCTGTTAAACAGTAACTCAACAATCCCTCCTCTCCTCAGCTCTTGGCAACCATTGTTTACTTTCTATGAATTTAAGTTACTATGAATTTTCTATGAGTCTCTGTGACCTTGAGTAACTACTTCTTTTAAGTCTTACTCTAATGCAAGAGAGGGGCTTTCTTGGTGGCTCAGTGGTACAGAATCCACCTGCCAATGCAGGAGATGTGTGTTCGATCCCCAGTCAGGAAAATCCTCTGGAGAAGGAAATGGCAACCCACTCCAGAATTCTTGCCAGGGGAATCCCATGGACAGAGGAGCCTGGTGGGCTACACAGCCCGTGGAGTTGCAAAAGAGTCGGACATGACTTTGTGACTAAACAACTACTAATGCAAGAGAGAGGGCCTGGTGACACCAGGTAGTTTCATTTCGCTCATCAAAAATTTGTGAATGAAGTAAAACATTTTATAGTTAGGGAAGCTGCTGGCTCACTGAAGCCTGTCCTAATGTGAAAATACCTGTGGAGAGGTAGTTTACAAAATGTGAAGAGGGGTTGAGAGAGTTCATCAGGTTAAAGCAAATTTAATTCCCATGTTCACCTTAAGTTCAGAGTAATCCCCTTGATAGAAGGAAGTCAAGTTTAGAAGAATTGCTTTTGTTACTGTCAAGATACACTTATCTTTTGTAAACTTTTAAATGCAGCAGTTTAATATAGAATATCCTGATTCTCAAAAGTTTATGAAATTTCTGCCTGCTGAAACCCCAGCAAAAGGCTAATAACCATGTATATGTGTATGTACTTGAAGTATTCAAAGAAGAAAATTAGGTGAAAGTATTCTATACTTAACATATCTATATGCATAGATCATTGTGTAATCAAAAGAAACCATCTTCTGTGAGGTGTCAAAGGTAACTTTCATAAAGGAATGAAAGTTTGAATCTATAGTATATTAAGGTGTAACATTACTTTGTAGTGAAGTCATCAATAAGCTAGATTGAGATGGCCACCAGCTAAAAATGTGGACTTTTCTTGGCATTAGATCTTGAGTGTTCAGACTAATGAAGTAAAATCAATAACAAAAAATATAGCTTGCCTGTTTACCTTCTGAATAACAAGTACTTTGGTATCTCTTTTTTAATTGATTTTTTTCATCTCATTTGAATTGATTTTTTTAAATTGATTTTTTTCATGAAAACAGATTTTCTTATTACAGAAATACATGCCAGGGCAATGAATGTGATCCTAAGTTACTATCTAAATACTCTTATTACAAAAAATCAAAAAAATTTAAAAACTTAAATATAGTGGTGAAAAGAGAAAATAATCTGAAATCTTGACTCCCAGGTTTAACCACTTTTGTTAAACTCTGTTTTGTTTAAGTCTGTTGACTCGGATAGTTTAGATTTCTTTCTTTTTAAAAAAAAAACAATTATTTGTCTGAGTCTGCTCTGTTGCAGCGTGTGAGCTTCTCTCTAGTTGAGGCGTGTCGGCTTAGTAGCTTAGTTGCCCTGAGGCATGTGGGATCTTAGTTCCCCAACCAGGAATTGAACCTGTGTCCCTTCCATTGGAAGGCAGATTCTTTTTTAATTAATTAATTTATTTAAACTGGAATCTAATTACAATATTGTGGTGGTTTTTGCCACACAAAATACCAGACTACCAGGTTTATCTGTATTGCCAATTGTTGTAGTTAATTTATAATTATACTCTGTTGTGTGAATATACCATATGTTTAATACTTTGTAATACAGTACAGAACACAATATATGTAAAACTCTTGTGTGACTGTACCACATATTTGAATTCTTTTTTTAATGCATATTTGAGTTGCTTCCTTTGTTGTTGTTACAAGCAAATCTACCATGAACATCTCTTATTTTCCCTTGTTTGCTAAATATATGTTTTAGGTCATGAATGGTGTTGAAATGTATTATGTACTTTAATCTGTGGAGATAATTAGTTTTTTAATCTGTTAATGATAATTAATTACCTTTTTAGATGTTCTGATGTTAAATACCCTTGCATACTGGAATAAACTCAACTTGGTCATACTGTTCTACCTGTTCAGTTTACTATTGGGATTGATTTGCTAATATGTATTTTTGAGATTTTATATCCACTCATGAGTGAAAGAGGTTTATAATTTTCTTCTGTCTTGTCATATCATAATTACTATGGCCTTGTGAAATGAATTTGGGGGATAATTCCTCTTTCTGTTTTCTGGTAGAATT